GATGGAATGGCTTTGAAGACCCATATTTATTATGTATTACATTTATATACAGTAGGTAACAATTGAGCCCAAAATTTCTGTTGCTAAGTGAGACAGTTAAGTGAACTTTGCCCCCTTTTACGACCTTTCTCGCCACTGTCATTAAGTGAATCGCCGCAGTTGTTAGTCATACGGTCGTTAAATGAATCTGGCTTCCCCATTGACTTTGCCTGTCAGAAGGTCGTAAAACGGGATCACATGATCCCGAGAACACTACAACTGTCATAAATATGAGTCAGTTGCCAAGCGCCTGAATTTTGATGCTGGAATGATCATAAGCGTGGAAAACAGTCATAGATCTCTTTTTTCAGTTCTGTTGTAACTTTAAGCAGTCACTAATGGGACTGTTGTAAGTCGAGGACTGACTGTAGGCCGCCTATCTCATTAGGCAAAGTGGGTGACTTCATTGCACCATAAAACTTACATAATGAATTTGAGGAGGGGGCAAAGAGGGGAGGTCCTTCCAGCGGCAATTTGCCCCAAGAGATCCCATTGCTGGCCAAGCATATTTGGGTAGCCTTCATCCACAATAAAGCAACATGTAGTTTTGTGCTTGAGTGAAACCAACAATAACTAAAGCTGACAATGATGGGTTGTTGTTTCCCATTTGCAGACTAAGCCCTTGAACTTGGTTAAAGACGGGTCTAAAGTTTATTTAATGCACCAAACCATACAGTAAACTGAAAAGCAAGCTCAGCTCTTCCAGTCAAATATAAACCACTCTCACGTGATGCATGAGTATATGTACTTAATATATATTAAGCATATGTTAATTTGAGTATATAATTAAAATGTATTTTATGTACATATACTTCATAAAGTATAAAGTATATGTGCATAAAATAGATGTAAAGTATATGTGAAATATATTAAAAAGTATAAAGTACTTAAAATATGTACATAAAGTAATACATGAGAGCTGTTTACAAATACAGGTAGTCTTTGACTTACGACCACAAGTGAGCCCAAAATTTATGTTATTAAGTGAGACATTTGTTAAGTGAGTTTTGCCTCCATTTTACGACCTTTCTTGCCTCCGTTGAAAGTGAACCACAAGTTGATAAAGTTAGTAACCAGTTGTTATTCGGATGCTAACTGATTACAGGCAGTCCTTGACTTATGCTTGCAGTTGAGCCCAAAATTTATGTTGATTAAGTGAATTTTGCCTATTTTATGACCTTCCTTGCCTCAGTTGTTAAGTGAATCACTGCAGTTGATAAGTTAGTAACCTAGTTGTTAAGTAAATCTGGCTTCCCTATTGACTTTGCTTGTCAGAAAGTCGCAAAAGTTTATCCATGACCTCAGGACACAGCAATGGTCATAAATAGGAGTCAATTGCCAAGCGACTGAATTTTGATCACATGATCATGGTGCTGGAAAAGGTGTAACTGTGAAAAATGGTCATAAGTCAATTTTCATTGCAGTTGTAAGTCTGAACGGTCACTAAATGAACTGTTGTAAATCAAGGACTACCTGCTTGTGATAACTGGAGGTTATAACAGCATATACATTTATTAGCTAACACAGATTTGTTTCCATTTCCCACAATTCCTTGCTTGAAGGGTTTTGGAAATCTGTAGTTTTGAAGGAGGATTCCCTCACCGTGAAATCATGTAAATTTATTAAATAAAAGAAATAGATGTGTCTCCTTCTCCCACAATCCCCTGCTTGAAAAGTTTTGAAAGTCTCTTGATTTCGGTGGACAATTCCTCCGCCGTATTTGTCCCTTCAGCATTTTATCCCCAACTGGCTAGAATTTGACCCCGAAAAGGACTTTGGAGTTGGGCTTTTTTTTATGATCCTTGGTCATTTTGGGTGTGCAAATCTTTTGGATTTTCATTGTTTCCTTCACCTGATTAAGCTTAGAATTGACTCATAAAATACCTGCAGCTGATTGAAAAGCCTTTATGAACGTGATAAATCAGGTTTTTTCAGCTTTTAAAGATGTGTGTGTGGAATTCATCCTAAGGAATGGAATTCCACATATCTTTTAAGTTGCCGTGTTTTTTATTTTCTTGACAAGTTTAGTTAGATTTCCACAGCTTATTTCTTACTACAGGTAGCCCACAACATATGACCACAATTGTGCCCAAAATTTCTGTTGCTAAGTGAAACATTTGTTAAGTGAGTTTTGTCCCATTTCACGACTTTCTTTGCCGCAGTTTTTAAGCAGATCACTGCAGTTGTTCAGTTAGTGACATGGCTGTTAAGTGAATCTGGTTTTTCCCATTGTGTCATGCCCCTGGTGGAGACTGACTCTGAGGGAGAGGAGGAACAGCTGACAGGGAGTGGAAGTGTGGCTCTGGAGGTTGTGGAGGAGGCTGGGGAAGGGCAGAGGTCGGCTGGGCAGTCAGAGGAAAAACCAGGCCCATCCTCTCTGCATCCTAGGACACACAGGGAGGAAAGGAGAAGGAAACAACTTGGCTTATGAGAGAAGAAGTGGCCATGATCCCCCTCATTGGTTGCAGCTGGGGAGACTAGCGTATAAGAGAGACGATTCCAACACAGCGTTGACAGAAGCAAAGCTTGTTTTATTTTGGGCTGAAGTTATCTCGGTTGGCGTCCTTCCAACAGACTGTACCTTGTTATCTCCTTGAGTTTGGTAATTACTTATCCTGGTCAGTTGTGGAAATTTCATCATTGTAGTTTGTTTGGTTTTTCATTTCACCTCTATCTGCTCATTAAGTTTGGACTGTATTGCTTTCTTTTGAAGACTATTTTTGAATAAGTTTTATCTCCAACTGAGAATTATTGAACAGTGGCGCCAAGTTAGAGGCATTAAAGGACATTTTGTGTTACACTCCGGGTCATCACACATTGGCTTTGTCTGTTAGTCGCAAAATGGGATCACATGACCCTGGGACAGTGCAACTGTCATAATATGAGTCAGTTGTCAAGCATCCAAATGTAAATCACAAAACCCTGGGGATGCTGCAATGGTCATAAGTATGAAAAATGGTTGTAAGTCACTTTATTTGGTCCTGTTGTCGAACGGTTACTAAACTATTGTAAATCAAAGACTACCTGAATCTGATTAAAAAATTTTTTTTGCTCACTATTGTTCAGTCTTTTTGTGCAATTTGCCTAAGGGCTGATGGCCCTGAAAGGGAATATGATGAAGAAATTTTTGCACAATTGAGGCCAATTCCTGAAACTTGTGGGTATGAATTTCTGTTATTTTAGAGCATGTGAATTTGGTAACATAAACCCCAAAGTGGGTTAAATATAGGTTTTTAAAAAAAAGACCTCAGGAGACATACATGAGAAAAATTCCCACCTGCTTCTGAGTGATTTGTGTGACCATTATTCACTTTTTTTCTCTTAGTGCAGTAAGTCCTCAATTTACAACCATAACTGTATCCAAGATTTCTGTTGCTAAGTGAAACATCTGCTAAATGAGTTTTGTCCCATGGGGATGCTGCAGCAGTCATAAGTGTAAAACCTGGTCATAAGTCACATTTTTCAGTGCTCTTGCAACTTCGAACAGTTGCTTAGCGTGGACTAAAAGTTGCCCCTAAAATTCCAGAAAGTTGGTGGAAAAACCCTAGTTGGAGACAGTAGCAAACCCTCTGTGTGTGTGTGTGTGTGTGTGTGTGTGTGTGTGTGTGTGTTTGCCACAATAGCTGCACAACTGAGCCTTTGAAGTGACGAGAAGTTGAGGGCAAGTTGAAGGAAACGCTGACTTGATATTCTTTCAGATTTTTAGAGCTGGATGAAAGTGGGTGCGTGAAACGCCGTTTGAAGTGTCCTCTTTTCTTAAGTCACCTGTGTTGCCATGGTCACACCTGCCCAGTGCGCAGCGTAGTGTTTGCCCACATGTATTGTTTGGTGTTTACCCAAGAAAGGAGAAGTGGACGAGAAATAGGGAACTTTTTGATTAAACAAGCTTTTGAAATGAGGTTTCTGGAACTTAAGTCTAAAACCTCTCCCTGCTTTTCCCGCCTGTTCAGAAGACCTTCTGGCAGGACTCGTTCTGTCAGGGTTCACGAATGGAGGCTGAGTCAGCTAGCCATGCAAGGAAACCAGGTTTGTTCCTTGGAAGTTCAGATTGTTGGCGTTGAATGAGAGCAGTGAGGTGGGACTGAACCTGTTTTCTCTGATAATGCAGTCTCAAATAGTTGGGATAATTTACATGTATGTATGTGCAACATTTATTTATGTTCCGCCTTTATTATTTTACAAATAACTCCCAAGTTGTCAGCATACCTAACACTCCTTCTTCCTCCTATCCTCCCCACAACAGCAACCCTGTGAGGTGGGTTGGGCTGAGAGATCATCCAGTTGGTTTCCATGGCTAAAGCAGGACTAGAACTCACCATCTCCTAGTGATTGTCCAAAGTCACCCAGACAGCTTTGATGCCTAAGGCAGGACTAGAACTCACAGTCTCCTGGTAATTGGCTGGTGGTTTATTGTTTGAGTGTCTGAATTGATTGTTCCTTCATTGGGGTATGTTTTACTTCTTGGTTGTTAATCTGGTATTAATTGAGATTAATAGATTAATCTATTTATCTGGGCGTTGATTGCTGGCAAAAAGGTGCTTGTATTGTTTTGGTTCCTTTTTTTAGCTTTTTGAGTGCCTCTTTTGAACGTTATGCAGGCGTTGCTTATCTCTACGAGCCTGTGGATGGCTGGTTTGTCTGAGTGCCATACTTCCTTTGGCAAGAACACTTTTATTGACCCTGGAGGTGTTCTGTCTCCCTTCTAGCACTGATGATGATGTTACCTAGTTAGGTAATGAAATGCCTATAATAAGAAAACAGGCAAGCTCACAGAGCACCAAGGACCCCTCATTTCAACCCTGAACTGCAAATATTCTTTTCTATAGACCGGTGTGTTCCTCTGAAATAGAGAACTTAGTGTGAGAAACCGGGCCTCTCTGCGGTTCTCCCTAGATTTCCTTCCTGAAAAATAGAATCCCAGACGTAGAAATGATTGACCCCCCTGACTATTCATGGAGTTTCAGAAACCTTCAATCATTGGAAAGCCTCACAAAGTTCCTTTTATAATCAGAGCTCAGAAGGGGAAGCAAAATGCCCCTGCTACTTGCCTCATCCTGTAATCACAGACAATGGTTTAATTCAGGTTTGGCTATTTTAACGAGTCAAAAGAAAAAGAAATGTCTGCTTCAGTCTGCTTGTGATTTGCTGATCTTTGGGTGGAAGAAAGCTTTCCCTGACCTGCGTCTAAAACCCTGGAATGCAATCAATTCTTTTCTTGCTTGCTTTCCTTGAACAATATATCACAGTTTCAGATGAAGACCGACAACCTGTGTATGTCCCAGGTACGTTGTACGAATGGCTACAGCCGATGTTTGGACGGTGAATCTGCTCCAAATCTAATTTTAGAATATAATGGAATTGAATGGAATAGAGAATGGAATGAGAATAGAATAACAGAACAGAATAGAATATGGGATGGGATGGGATGGAATAGAAATAGAATAGAGTAGAAATAGAATAGAGTAGAAATAAAGGTAAAGGTTTCTGTTCACATACATGTTAGTTGTTTCCAGCTCTGGGTAGAAATAGAATAGAATAAAAACTTTATTGTCACTTTAAATGTACACTCATCAGCATACATTAAAATGAAGTTTGCTTTGAGCTCTAAGCCCATGGCGCTTATAAGGAGCATCCTGAATCATCTCCACTGTCCTCACCACTCTCTGTAGGGACTTTCTATCTAAAGCGCTGCTGCCACCAAACCAAACAGGGATGCAGTTTATTAAGACACTCTCAGTTGTGTCTCTGTAAAAAATGGTCAGGACAGAAGGAGAAATTATGGCCCATTATGGTTGCAGGTGGTGATGGCCACTAAGCAAGAGTGTGATGTGTTAAGCGGAGCATGGAATGGGGGAATCCCTTGGGCCATCCTGTGCTTTGCTCCCTGCCACTTGGAGTCCATGAAGACCCCCCCCTCTCCTCCCCCCCCCCCCCCCCCCCCCCCCGCCCTCCCCGTCTTCTCTCCCCACAAGTTTCTCCTGTCTTGTCCTTCCCAGTCCATCCCAGTCCATCCCAGTTCATCCCGTCCCATCCCCTGATACGTGGCTCACCTGAAAAGATTCTACACGATGTTCCTTTTTAAAACTGGTGGAAGCGACGGTAGCAACTAAACCCAGCGTTAGCGCATAACGTCGTGACATTGATTAAACAACTCTGAGGCGAGTAATTAAAAATGGGTGAGATTGGTCCATAAATTAATCGAACTCACCTTTACGAAGGAAAGTATTGAAAAGTGCCAGGTGCGATAACAGTCAAAAGCCAATAAATCCAAAGAGTAAATTTTACAACGTTGCCTTTTATGGCAATCTTGAAGATAGACGAAAAGCCTAAATGTGTGATAAATGGTGTGTGTGTGGGGGGGGGGGGGGGGGGGGGAGGGGA